CCGGTCAGCGTCCTCTATACACGTCTGTGCTGAGACAGCGCTTTCTGTGACGACACAACGCCTGCGTCCTACTTGCTATCCGCAAGGGACGCCGGGAACCAGCGAAAGTTGCAATAGACTCGCTATCAGGAGTGACATCAAACAGTCCAAACATTTTTATACTCTTAAAATTGCTGATGCCATTATTATTTTTACAATAGAATTTCATATACAACCGATACATAATGCTAGAGTATGTTTTGTATATATCATTTGTTTGTTTTTTATTTACTTTTATTTTCGACCACAAGATGACATCATACTTTTCAACTTCGTCATTAAGTCTGTAGAGTTTGCATGCACTGATGAAAGTTCAGTGAACCTTGTGGGTGAAACATGTATAGCTACATGTTATTTACTTCATTGCGTGCCAATGCTGTGCATTCAAAGTTTAAAATAAGAACACATATAATTTGTTCATATTGTTTACGAATGTTGTGGTTAATGAAGTTATAGCGGGAGGGTCGTCACCTGTGCACGCGCGGGAATTATGAGTACCAAACGACGATAACAACACACGCTTAAAACGCAAAAGTTCATGGGTAGACGCTTGTTTGTAAACAATAACACGCTATGACCATCTGACACATGCGCAGGTGACGACGTCTTTGTTTAGTTGTTCATTTGTACAATATCCAAATGCCCAGCGACAAGAATGATAAATTAGATATAAAGACCTTATTTAATATTTTTCAAAAAGGAATAATTTAAAATAAAACGATGAAAACAATTTGCTAAACAATACAATAACGTTATATAGGACTTTACAAAGTAATTAACTAATTAACATATTGTGTTACCATAGTAATATGTCAAAACTGCAAGTCCAATTGCTTTGATATTACATATATAGATACTACATGTGGACCTTTCTCAGATTTGTTCATTTCGTGATAATATCTTAAATTCTCTAATTTTGGTGTATATTTTTGTCATTTTGGGTAAAAAGTGATATTTTTGACTTCTTGTTAGAAACCGTTAGTCTGATTTCTTTGATATTACATATATAGGTACTACATGTGGACCTCTCTCAGATTTGTTCATTTCAGGATGATATCTTCAATTATCTAATTTTGATGAATATTTATGTCATTTTTAGTAAAAAGTGATATTTTTGAATTCTTGTTGAAAACAGCTAGTCCGATTGCTTTGATACTATACATATTGTTCATTTTCTAATGATATCTTCAGTTCTTTAATTGAAATGTGCCTTGCTAACAGCGGAGCTATCTCAGCCGAGAGGCTGCTTGTTTTTTTTAAATCATAACTTTTCAGATTCTTGCCAAATCTATTTGATTAAATTTGCTTTGCTTATTTGCTTTTGAGCAATGTGTGTTCCATTGAAGATTTCCTTCAATCACGTTAAGTATTAAAAATGAAATGAAATTAGTATTGTTAGATGAATAAATGATTATATAAACCATCATAACATAAGTTTTGTTTACGTTAGAATTCTTACAGTGTCTCTGGGAATTTTAATTTCACAACAAATAGTGTCATTGCCAATTATTCATTTATTTATTAATTATTACCTCTTCAGGCCTTATTGGTTTATGGGACCATTGCAAGTGGTCTGATTCGTTGAGATATCATTGTATGGCAATTGACGAAAGGTTCACAGGAATAGATAAGCTTAAGAGTGATTCCACGTTTGTGATAGGAGGCATGAATATGACAATCAGCAGTGAATATTATCAAGCTATTAAACATCGAAAACCAGTAATTCTTCAAATATGGCTGAGTCATATTGGGAGGGTATCACTGAACTACCATCATACTGAAGTCGATAAGGAAAATAATCATATTCTGTCATCAATGGATGTGTTTCATGTATTTATGAATAAAGTTACTCGCAAATCAGCACCATTGCCAGAATGGTACAAAGAAAAATATGGTCCATACGCTATTGGCCCCATGGCAAAAGTGATGAAGAAACTTGAAAAGGTTAAGGAAGTATACAAGTACGCTGAGAGAGTTCAATATCACGATATCGATTTCAACAACCATGCATCATATAAACTGTACTTAAAACTGTGTTCTAATTGTGCACACGGTGCTGTTGCTGATGGGTTTTTTACCAAAGTCACTGATGACTTCGCATTGTATCAAGTGAAACATATTTCAACCCTATACCTTAGTGAGACTAATGTAAATGATGAACTTATTGTAGATACGTGGGAGGATGAAAACAACAATGATACAGTTCACTTTATCATTAGTAAAACAGATACTGGTAAAGAAGTATTTCATTGTACAATCAGACTTTATTCTCAGAAAAATTATAACCCATACATGCCTGGTCTTAGAGATGGCAAATTATTATAATTACCGAAAAAAGTAATGATATATGACAAACACAATTTTATGGGATAAACATCACTCAGAAAAACTGCAGTTATGATTTTCAGTAGTTATGTTGTTTATTATTGTTTCTGCAAAATTGAAAAATCTTCTTCAAATCTTCTTTAAATCAGCAAATGATTCTAATAAATAAATATATTATCTCAGGTCATAAAAAGGGTCACTGTGGTACAAGTTGCATATAAGCACATATTTGTTCAAAAGTGTCTGTTTTACACTGCTCGTTTAAGAATTCATTTCACGACAAACTTTACTATCTAATTTCCAAAGCTTATTAAAGCTATACGATTTCTCTACCACTTACAATTTCTACTGCAGTTGAAACAGTGCCCTCTATCATCAGTAAAAAAAGAAGAAATTTAAATAATTTTCTCCTTTTAGTCGTGTAAGCAGAACCTCAAAATTTCCTAAGCTGCGCTAGATCAAATTTGATAACTTGATTGATTTGATTGGGTAATATATTGACAAGATTTGTTTTAATGTTTCAACTATCATGTGGTGGGAAATTCTATGAAAATGTATCAGAAAGTGTTTTAATAATTTTTCAATCATATTGAAGATATTAATTTAGTTCCCCTGTGCATATATCTGTACAAACATATATTTTACTTCTTTGTGTATTTAGTCAAATGAGTTTAAATCTCTAAGCGCCAAAGTCAATTCAATTCACAAATAAAATACCATTGACAAAAGGTGTTGATGAAAATTTCATATTTTTGATCAAAAACTAGAAGCAATGTCGCATTTTGTCTGTCAAGTTCAAAATTAAGATTGAATTCAGCGAAAATTAAAGAAAATGTGAACAAATTTACAACATTTTAAGTGGACAAAATTGGTGCTCAATCGATTTATACAGACCTGCATCTTAATTACAAAATTAGTCAAAGAAGGGCGGCGGTCATCCCGCTGAGTATGTGCGACATTTGTGTTGATACACATTGATTTTCCTAGAAAAATGCGTTCTAATGCGTTTTTTTCAATGAAATCACAAGTATGAGTTTTGACCTGGGTGCCTTTTGTACTAATTACCACCAGCGACTTCATAAATATCTACAATCCCCAACAGTAATTACCTAATTAAAGTTTTGTCTCCTCTCAGTCAAAGTCACCATCTTTGTTTATATGAGACCCAAATCTCGCGCATGTATTGTGCGACGATCACGCCCTTTAACTTGTACAAACATTAAATTAACAATTTCTGTAATCCAGTGTTTGTAAACACAAATTGCATGTCTCTGTCATGATTTATTTCTATTATTTCACTAATACGATAGTTGAGTTCTAGTGGAAAGCTGGTTTATATAATTCAACACATTTACATAACCTGTCCAGACATTTAAGCTTATATGCGAGGTCCCGGACGGAACTTGACTCAGTGGATGGAACTGATTGCAATATAAACGTCGCCAATCTGACTACTATTTCTGACAGTTTGCTGTGTGTTGTTTCTTGATATAGCGGACGATTAATCAGTAGATATGACGTGTCCAGTACTTCGTGTGATTGGCTGTATGATTGAAGGCTATGCCTTACAGTCTTTATACTCTCTTGTAATTGGTTGAGGTTTGGAGAAGTGAATAAAGGAGTCTTAGTCGGTCTTTGCGGAACCCCACGGGGCACGCAGTCTTGGGTCAGCCTTTAGAGAGTCTTGGGGGACTTTTCCCCCTGGGTATTCTGTCTTGGTGAGTTTTTGGCGAGCGACTAGGTCTTGAAGTTGGCACGAATTCTACCTGTGTGTGTGCCTTTTTTTTCAGTGAAATGGTTGCGAGCGTTAAGATCCCTGGTACCTCAGTTGAAGGTTTAATAACACGATAATTAAAGTCACCATATCTCTAGGCTGATATGTTTTGTTGCAATTCTGACAATATAAATGTAGATAAGAAATTAATTATAGACAACTTAGTGATCAGATGTTGAAATTTTAGTTCGAGTTCATACATTCTATAATTAAGTTTATAAATAAATCAGTAGAGAACAGATTATTTTATTTTTTCTAGTTTGAAATCTTGAATATTTTATAGTTTAATATGTGCTTGAATTCAATAATATGAGGTTATTATGAAGATACCTCAAAGTATGCACGAAGACAGTACGGCGGAAGTATCGACCAACATGCAGTGGAGGTCGATGCAACGGCGTACTGTCTGATACTTAGAGGTATCTTTGTATTAACTTTTATTATTATACATCTTTTCCTTCCAAAGATACATCATGGGAATGCCGAAATCCAAAAAGTTTAGAACAGAAACAGCAAACTTCTTTGTGTGGAGTCCAGTCAGTCCGTGGTGGCAGCCATGTTTGTTTTTATTATTAAAGGACGCTTATGCGCCTAAACATTCCATATTTGGTATTCGCATTTCCTTATATTGTATAATGAAAATACCTCGTAAAATACCGCAAAATTGCGGCACGCTGTAACTTATGGCGTTATGGTGACAGATGTATAATAATGTCTACTATTCCAAATAAACTATAAAGAAACACATATTTTCTTATCGTATGATGTTGAGTTGTATTTGTAATTGTACGAGTTTAATGGGCAAGGCAACAATACTTATGGATGGAAATGCAAATATCTTAGTCATACAGCCTGAATGCAATACCAAGTTGAGTAATATTAAAATATTCTGAAAACATTGGATTGACTTCAAGAAATCATATAAAACCTGATAATAATTTTGGATTGGAACTGCATCTCGAGGGCATTGCAAATTGTTCGAAAGGAGAATCTTTGCACGGTTGGCATTTTAGCAAACAAGCTGGCCACTAAGCGCGGGGGGGGGGGGTATCCCAAGTTGTTGCAAATGTATTACTAATAAAAAGCATGCGACTGCTACCAAATTAATGAAAATAAACTTCTCATAGTGTTCCAATCATCGTAAGTCGGACTTGGCGGCGCTTTCACAAATTCAAATAGGTTGTCATATTTATAGATATGTTAGTCTAAGGACTTCATCATGTTATTGTAAATAAAATTAATTATGCACTTAAATTTATTATGATTCACTTGTTTGCGGTTCACATGATATTTGCAGTTTAAATTTAAATGTTTTTCAATTGTTACTTCATATTTTATTTTCCATCTCATTTTAATATTAAATGCAATATATTCTCGGGAGATGTAAAAAGCACCTAAATTCGATTACCGATGTTCCCACAAAATAGCAAACTAAACGTATCATTGACTCATTACATTGGCCTAGGCTTTAAAGGTATGTACCTTTAATTAGATTAGCCTTGTAGCTGTCTGAGCTATGTATAATTCGTGCAATACAATCTGTTGTGAAATAAAAACATTTTATTATTTATTTTAAATATTGACATAATACCATATTAGAAACTCGCAAAGTGGTTAATCTATAGCTTGTGCATGCGTAGTGCGACAACTACGTACCTTTAACCCGTATATCCTAGAATGAAACGATCGTAATACATTTCATGATGCATATCCTATACAGTCAGTACACAGAAAGGTCTGCGACAATAACACCAACTGGCAAATATTTTTTAGTATATAACGATAATAGACACTCATGGAAAATAACGATGGTTGCCTGGTAATAATATTGATTGGCCAGAAAAATCGTTAAAATTTTTAGCATAATATACAACATATTGTTCCTGTAAAGGTATTCCCATCATGCTTTACGGCAGTATGCTGTGTCGTTCTTAGCTAAACCAAGAAGATACATTAACAATGTCCCGTTAGAAAGGCATAAATTCAAAATAATGGTGAAAGATAAATAACTACAATGATTTTTAGGATGAAAATGAAAATATCTCAATACAAATTGCAAGATGATTAGAAAACCTCCAAAAAAAAACTAGAAAAAAAACGTTCTTGCCTGTTTTTGCTACAGCACAGCAATACTTTCATTTCAGTTTATCAAATCGAGCCTTTCCAAGCGTTCATTGTGATCTGCGATGACATTCGTTACGCATGAAACTCAAGATCTCGTGAGATCTTCATCGCATATCATCTTGTAAATCATTAACAATTTTCAGTAATATAATTCTACCTGAAATGCAATTTAATTTTTTTTTTTAAATTGTAAAATAGTTTTTCTTATGAAATAAATGTATTTTTATATACGCAATAAATACAGTTTTCGTCGCTTAACCTTGCAACTGCAAATGCAATGACCTTGCACATATTCTCGTATCAAACAAATATTCTGGCGCCAAACAGCTATCTGTCAGCGGATCCAAATACTACTCTCACCATAAGCACAGTTGTTGTTATTGCTATGCTAATGAGAAACAAATGTAGCATAAATCGGTCAATGACCTCTGCAATTTCTCGCCATTCATGTACATCTTTTTCTCTACTGTCTTTTTCTTGGTACCTTCTAGAAAACTGTGTCACATGACTGTTGATATTGTCGAGTTTCTTATCGCAGCGAGCACAAGTCACATCTGACCTGATTTCCGACTCCAGTTCTCGCATTTCCTCAGATTTTGTTGAATTTTCTTGAATGGAGTTTCCGTTGTAAATCAAGAAGCCGTCGAAGTCGTGGCGCGTGCGTACTGCCCCTGCGTGTTCGTCCGCAGCAATGTGGGTTTTACTGGCTGTTGACTTCGGCGAATAATGCCGCTGAAAATAAACCACTGGCGCCAAGAAATCAAATACAAATTTTCGGAACCAACGCGGAACAGTAGTGTATCCAGATGGCACGTAGTAGAGGTTCAACACCCATACTGTCGTAACGCACGAAATAGACACAATAACGATCATTGACGAAAAATATTGAGCTGAAAATACAAAAATAATTGCTCGTTAAGTATCAAAATATAGTGTTAAAATTATAGTGTTATAGCGGTTTGTAATAAAAAAAAGCACATATAAGCAATAATTGTACTCTCTGCACAACAAACCCATTCTCTTCACCTTTATTGATATTTATAAATGTCAATGGCAATTGAATGCGACTAACCAATCAACGAGCGCGCGTTGACGTCACAGTGATTTGAAAATGTTATTTAATAAATGTTATTTAAAGAACTAATCTGTATATTGTTTCCAAATGTCTTTTTAATAATCGAGTAAGAAAATAAACTAAAATTGGCTTCATATTTAAATGTAGATATTAAGAATAAAATATATATTATATAGTTGCATGCGATTTACGTATTTGATTGCAATTTTCATTTTGCATTTGAAGGTCTACCGAGTATGTTCTCGGAAGAGGATAAAGAGCGCCCCCGTATTTCTGACTTACCGATAATTGGTACATCATCGGACGTTGGGGGCATGGTTTCCCCAACTACCTGATTGAAGACAAAGAGGGTCAGTAAACTGGTCATACTTAGAGCAATTTTCTCACCAGAATCAGGCGGCAAATAAAATGACATTGTTGCCAACACAGAGATCAGTACATTCGGTAGTAGCAAGTTTAGGACATAAAATGTTGGTTTTCTGCGGATGATTATCGTGTATGTCAGATCGGGGAATATTTCCTCACAGCATGGGTACACCAATACATTTCGTATTACAGGGGCATCAACCAACTCCCATTCGCCGTTCGGCTTAAAATTCGCGATGTCCGCCGATGGCATTTCAGCGGTTAGGTTAATTTCCGCACCATCAAAAGTCCAAGAACCAAACTTCATTGAGCACTTTTCAATGTCAAAGGGGAAATAACGAACGTCTATCTTACATGCGCTTTTGTAAATGGCCGGGGCCAACCACGTTAGGCTACCATCCGAGTTTATAATAGCATTAGCGTCTTTTATGCGTTCAAACTTCTCGTCCACGCTGGTAAAAGAAAGAAAGAAATATTATAAAATGCTATGTGAATTTTATGCTATGATATTACTCCGACGATGCGCATCCGTAAGCATGACACAATAATTCGATTGCTTATTGATATGGTCATTCGACATAGATTGAAATGTATTTTCAGAAACTTGTCAAACCATTTAGCCCCACGCACAACCTTATCAAGCACCAACAACCCCATTCGATCGCCAACTCATTAGCGGTTGGTGAAAGTATTATGCCGTTTAAAGTGATAACAGTGTTTGATTCTGTAGTCGCCAGTGTGCTAAATCACTACACATTATATTTGTTATTATCGGACGGATAAAGATCAAAACGTTTCGACGCCATGAATGGTCTTACAGTCCCATTCTGTCGAAGATAGCTCGTCGATAGAGGGACTGGTTAATAGGGATGGTCTATCCCCCCCCCCACACACACACACACATGCATGCTTTGAACATTTTAACATTAAAAAAATCATGTGCATTTTTCTTCTTAGTAAATTAAACTTGACAAAAAGACAATTTCAAGTTTAACACGGAGCAGAAATGAAGTGTTTACGATTACTTATGATTTGATAAAACAGTTTGAATATAATTAAATTTAGAGTGTGTAAATCTAATAAACATCGGGGCAGTTTGGCTTTTATTAATATCCCGACAAATAACCTAACAATACTGTAATAAGTAAAAATGTATAAATTAGTTAGCTGATACGAATGTTTCCCACTATGATTAGTCTGCAAAGTAAAGCTTGGATTAAGGTATGTTGTACTGCATCACATTGATATGCAATCTTCTCCCGTCTTTCTAATCGTTTTTATTGTTTTTGTGAACTCGTTACCTAACTTATTTACAAATATTCAGGAATGAGGGCCGCATTTGGGGCATCCGCTTGATTTTCCAAACATGTGAGGAATATTTGTCTATGTGATATGAAAGTACTATGTTTAAAAAATAAAATTAACCTACGCGAGTCAATTTTAGAAAGAGTGTTGATCAAAAACATTTATTTGATCTAATAATCTAAGACCAATATATGATAGTAGTACTGGGGAAAGAATGACTAGACTAACCTGACATATGAACTTTGACCCATAGGTACTTGTGACCAATAAGGGGGGGGCAAGGGGATAGCTGGTACAGGTTACGGGAAAGAAAAATAACATTTTTAGCCCCTGGAGTCGACGCGCTTCTGTGACATCACAGTGACGTAAATGATGTTAGAATTGTCAATAAAATTGACATTGTTCGTTTTGTTGTGTAGTCGTTCGTCATTTTGAATAAAACCTCTGATAAAAAGCAGTATTTTCATTGACAACCAGAGATAAAAGCGGCGTCAACACCGGGGGTTGCAGCCCTTACACGAATTAAATCATACAAGCGCTCCGTCGCTAGAGGGCGCGCATTGTGCAGGGTCCATAGCGTTGGGAAAATCCTTTGAAAGTCTTTGGATTTTTTGAAGTCTGGAAAGCCATTGAGTCGTCTATAAATTACAGGAAAAATATTAAAAAAATCTTTGAAAAGTCTTTAAAATTTCTCCAGGGAACTACGATATCCTCAGAACATTGATGGGCTTTGATGATGATGTCGGCCTGAATTTAGGGTCAAAATGTCTTGGAAAAATGTTGGGAAGAGGTCTGGAGAAGTCTTGGTGCTATGGACCCTGTTGTGGAAGCGAGTACTGTAAATCATCACACTAACTTATCGTATAAAGTGATATCAGGTCGCCATAATAATGTCGCTGGTAGTCGTATGACGTCGATTCCTCCGTAGTCATCAGGGTTCCAACGCAGGTACTCGTCAACCCATTTCTGAAATTAATAAACGAGACCGATGATATAATAGATCTAATATATTATTTTATTTTATTTTTAGCACATTCCGTCTCATAGTAACCTACACTATGACGTCATACTACGCTGAAAGAAACAATATGTTAGTGCTTGTGTGATTATGTTGGTATATCTGTGATTTGTTTTTAATATAAGATCATAATATAAATCCATATATGATACACATCGCATTGACCTATGGTCCATATCCCATATGTTTGTTTGTATGTGAACTACTTGAATTGTGAATGCACCTCCAAAATTTGACTGATTTGAACCTGTTAGCTTGTCTGATAAACAAGTAGCACCTGTTCGATCTCAAATAGATCTTTGTTTTTTGACATGGTTGAAATGTTTACTGTACTAGTATTAAAACGGAAGGGTCGTCACATGCGCACGCGCGGGAATTGAGTTCCAAGCGACGATAACAACACACGTTAAAAACGCAAAGGCTCATGGGTAGACGCTTGTTTGTAAACAATGACACACTATGGTCATCTGACGCATGTGCAGGTGACGTCACTCCCTCCCCGCAAATGCAATAAATATAAACTGTCGGATATCCTGAATAAATCATCCATAAATGTTATTTCATAAAACCTAATATCGTGTGTAGAAGCTCTAACAACTACACGTTTAAAAAACAATTTCCTACGCGTACTATACAAGTCATATCAGTCATACGGCCATTGACGTTTCGCGATGTGTATATTCAATATACTCTTCAGCAACATGTCATCATTCTGCTTTACTTTGACAATTCATCCTCCACGGGCTTTCTAAACATTCATAAGAACGTGTATATGGGCGAAGAGCGTATAAATGTACTGGTATATTGATTTTTGGAATCAAGTTTCAGAAAAAAATTAAATCCATCCATCATTTATTATTAGCGCATGCAAATAATAGACATCAGCCAGGTGCGTTTTATTTTGTTCAAATACATTAATGATTCACTTTATGTTTATAATCTCTTCTTTGTGTCGCAGTATACAGTCATCGCCAACGCGTGTTTGTATTTTATGTAAAAAAAATGTGTTTTACACGCGTTGTATACGTTGCTATGGGATCCACGTCGAACAAGGCGCGGTAAGTCGACTGTAGTTCTTCCATTTCACAGAACGAGCGTCGATGGATATTGTCATATCATACATCCAAGGTTAAAAGTGCTAGTGAAATATCTGCAAATTGAAAGTAGGTTATTGTTTGCTGGGTATTGCTAAATTTTCGTCAAATTCAATTTAACACTATCAAGTTTCAGTTCATAATAATCAACACGATCCGGTGATTCAAATTTGCATAAATTATTAAATTAATGGTCTTGTTGTCGTCACAGCTAACCTTACAAATATTGACAGAACAATCAATTAAGCGAAGTCGATATTGCATGTTTTTGCAGTAAGCGAAACTGTCAAAGAGCGTTTGGAAATTGTGCTACATTAATTACCTAAATGTTTAGAAACTTCCTTTTATACTTTCATTTGAGGTTGTGTTGAAGAAGTGTGCTTTCTATTTACCATGAATGTAAAAAATAAGCTTATATCTAGAAAAAAAAACAATACAATACGTTAGATGTCGGCTCATATTATGTATTTGCAATCTCAAGCGCTTAATTAAATTGTCAGATAAACAAGTAGAATATAAAACTAATTAATTAAAATTGTCATCATTCGTGTTGAAACTGACACACATAATTTATTACTAGTATTAGTGTATTTCTAGCATCTAGTTTATAGTTCAATATGGATAATCTCTCCAATTACGTACGTAAACACCACATGTTCGAATTACGTGTAAGCAAATAAAGGTATTTTACACGCGTTGTACACGTCGCTATGGGAACCATACGGCCATTCACCATTTTTTTGTGTGGATGTAACGCGATATTCATGAGTTATTTATTACACACACACATTTAATTACATGTAAATTAGTGACCGTCTTTATATACTTCGATATACATCCTATAGTATTAATCACCATAAAATTCAAGACATGTAGATTTTATAAAATATATGGCCGTATTTATTTGCATTCGGTGATTATTTGACACTTGAATGCTGGCGTGATGTCATTGCGCTGATCATTAAATTCAAATCCGAGGCATACCTCGATCATCTTACAATAAATATTATTTTTTTTTAGAAATAAGAAATGACAATAAACAAGTGACAATCTGTGAAGGACAATTTTTACATTGTATTGTAGAATAAAAAAAACCTGTTATTGTACAAACTTTTCGCAAAACTCTCGAAAATGGAAATGCGCGTATATTGGTACTGTTGTGTATACAGTTATGCAAATATGAATAAATAAAGATCGTCATAAATTTGGAATATAGTAGATATGCTATTTAAAAATATATAATGAACGTAAATTTCTGAGGCAGGGCTTTTTACCACCACTCTATGTATCTAAGTATTAATTCCGTTTTGGCGAAATGTTGTATAATTAATTGCACAGTAGGTGACAAAAACCCCAGGGCATGTACTGAGATGCGTAGTTATAACAATCTGAACAGCCGTAAAAAAATCGATTAATTTAATGTATGAAGAATCCTATATTGTGTGTACATGTGATGTATGTTTATGCTCGCCCGTCATACCAGTGATTCTCCTTAATATCGGGTTACACAAAGTGGTCACATGGACACTCATGCCTCTGGGGATGTCCCAGCTATGACTGTAACATAAAACGATGTTAATTGTCTTATTGCTAAACACCGTGTATAGTATGGCTGTGTACATACTGAGTGGATTGTATGCTATATAGCCGTGTCTTTATACATCGTTTCAGTCAACATTCGCAGAAGGTCAAATATAAATTCCTATTTAGTGAGATTTGTAGGTCATGGGATTGTAGTCTGCTGCTGAAAATATTACGAGCATATACATAACCCCAGACGCTCTCTTTGTTTGAAGCACTCATCTCATATGCTAGAGCTTGAACTGGACCTCTTAGTCCCCTATTTTCCTCTGCTGCTCAGTCAATTCAATTTCTTATCTCAACATTCAAGCGTTGCTATGATAGATACCATGTACTGCCGACACAATACGACAAAATTTAGGCATGTGATATACGGTTGTTTAACATGTGGAAGGCTAGTTCATCGATTGCCTACCTAGATTGGTGTATGGCGAATGCTACCTGTAGGGCAGGATATGCAAACACCTGATATCACTTCTTTGTTTTAACCGTGAGGTACAATTGTCCACTCATTTTTCTAAATGCCCTAAGACTAGTACATTAATTTCTGTACTACTGTACACAATTGAATTATGTATGTGTGTATAAAATTTACTTGGTTCCATGTATATTGTTATATGTAATTGTACTTTGTTGAATAACCTACACGACTATAATTGAATTTAGATTAATGAATGGGTATGCTCGTGCTTTTTTTTTCTCGTAGTAAAGCAGGCATCATACGTAAAATAACATAAATCGAACAATTACACTTTAGGAAATGATTGTGATGAATTAACTATACCTGTCTCATCCAACTGCTCATAGTGATGATTTGATTTCGTTCATCCTGTTGAGTAAAAAAATAGAGCAGTGTTTTAAACACCACAAAATAGTTATAAAACAAATCAATAATAAACCATATGTTATATTTCTCCCAACCCCGGACACAGTCTCTTGTTTATGTTTTGATGTTTTTTTTAATAGAATAAAATATCATGGGAGTGTGTATATGGCGAAATCCGTGTTACCTCGATAACACGGCTTTATTTTATTAAAAAACACCAACAAAATGCCAGTCTATCGCATCCCAGGAATCAGTAGTTTGAATGTGTGGTCGTATTACAACACTCTAAATCGAGATTATGTGATGCGATTGGTCAATCCGCCGTCACATAGGCTTGCGCAACGAGAAAACACAGTCAATAGTTTTCAAACTGTTATTCAAATGACCCCACTTTGGAAACAGTTGGCAACAAAGCAATCGCACAAGTTTTTGCAAAGGTAGCTACATTCTTACACATTAGAAAAAAAGGGTACCCGGGGTAATTTTTATGGGGTTTCAAATTGTTATAATATACCTAAATACTGACATTATTCTGACAATAACAGTCATCTGTCCTCCTCGGATATGAGTTTTTTGAGTGACCCACATTCTATTTCTCTGATGAGCTGTCGATAGGGGTATAATATTTCCCAACTAATTAACAACCACCATTAATATTGTTCACGTAATATTTAGTATTTTAATAGTGACAACAACTGAAACAATCGAAGATTCCGTTTTTTCTCTCAAAAAAAGATTGAAGACAGAACTTTGAATAACTCGATGTTGAATGTTGGTATTCAGTGGATTCTGGTTTATAAACAAATGTTGATTTGGCCAATCACGCACTAATATATATCTGCGTGCGCATACTGAAATACCGACAGTATTGTTAACTTACCACGTCAATTATTTGAATCACGGAAATCCCAAACGTAACATTGGTAGCTACAGATGCGTCACGAACTGGGCGTAGTAATTTATTATAATCATCGAACAAATCGTTGAACAGTGCATGGTAGTTTGACAAACAGTTACCTGGCAACAAAGCATAAATTGTGTCATCATAAAAAAGTCACTAGAGTTTTCGCTCTACAGAAGCTTAAGGCAACGATCGACCAATTCAAAATGCAAGTATCGGCTAATGTTACTGTTTTTTCTCTGGCAGGCATCGATTACCGCGAACTTATGGTGCATATGAATGGCAAATTGTAGATAATGTGTATTTCAAGTTGATTGCCACTGTAACTCGCGAATTGGATATCCAGCTATATCTTTCCAGTTATATAACAAAACTGTGGCCTCGATATCCGTCCCTACGATACATACAAAGGTCACATAGTATAGAATTGGTTAGTCATTAGGCTTTATATGGTGAACAAATACAAACTTAAAATGTTCCAATGACCACCTATTATTTGCGCGCTTATATATCCTAAAAACGGTTAAATCTATGTAAATTGCGAAATACATTTAAATGTATTGTGTCGTATAACATCAATAATAATCAGTACTTTCAACATGATGAATATGTATTTATAGTATCGCCATGTTGCATGCCATCATTGTAGTTGTTCATTATTCATAGTCATCAAGAAATCTTTTGTTTACAGGACTTTTGGATTTGAATTTGCAATATCACTTATACTGGTGCGTCGAGTTAACATTTCGCACAAGCAGAAAATTGACACGTGTTTATCAGGTTCTTTCGTTATTTTTCTTGAAATGGGTGAAAACCATTGGTATGATCATCGTATTTCATCATTATTCAAGGATTGACTATTCGAAACGGATTTTCAAATATTTTCTCAAATGCAATAATTGCGATTCACCATGCCTTAAATAACATAACCTTATGCTTGAAGCAGTTTATGCAGAGAATCACACAATCTGTGCCATCACCAAGATATTTTGCAAATTACGACTGATCAATGTTCTCCACCAGTTATCCCAACATTCCAGTTTCTTCTTAAATTAAATTTTATTGATGATAATTTGATTTGAAAATGGTAGAATGTATCAGTGATTTTGTATTGGGAAACAAAACAAAAATATTAGTGAACTGCAAAGAAGATGATACAAATGGACCTGATGGAGCTCTCATATCATTCTGCTATCCGGGAAAGAGCTGATAATCGACACTTTAGATATATAGTCCAAATGCAAGTGTGCAAGTATAACATCATCCTTGACACAAAATGTCTGATAGGTAAATACGATGTAAATACATCTTGAACTAGATAATGATACAATGCACCAGATGACGATTCATAGGCCATAGTGACAAATATCATATGAGTAACTGTGTTATCCACGGTTTTCTGTGTTTTACCTGCTGCAAAATATAAATTTTGAGGTATTCGATCAACACCACGCGATATCTTTTAATTCGTAATCAAACAAACGGTACCTACGACGCAACTCCGAATTCATAGATACTGAGTACATGTAATATGATTTTCCGCAACCTCGTCAGTGTTCAACCTGCCAGTGTTGACCCGCCAGTTTTGACCCTGCCAGTGTTGACCTCACCAGTGTTTTGGAGTAACACACGTAAACATTATCGATATTAAAACTAATTTTCTGAATTGCGAAATTTTATCGCTAGACCCAAACCCTGCATTATTATTCTAGCACTATTAACGTTGCATTGTTTTGTGATACGCCTTACCTGTACTATTATTAACATCCGTATTTACTAGTGGATTTGCTGTCACGGTGATTGGTATCACAACTACGAATTAAAAAAGCATTAAATGAAATTAGAAAAAACAAAGTATTTGGTATTATGTTTGAAAGGTAGGAGAATATTTCAATAAGAAATAATACAAATATACTAGTATATGAATACATATTTTGTATTACACTTCGTTTGTTACTTAATTTAAATAAAGTTAATTTATTTTGTATGTGGGACTGTAAACGTTCTTAGGACAGTTATATTATTTGGAGACATATTATATTAATTATCATATACCATAGTATTGAATAGAGATACAAAATATTAATTTTCAACATATTACCAGTTTGATAGACTTTCATATAAATTGACAATAAACAGTACAGTATTGAGAAACCCAATTACATTTTTTCCATTACATTTAATCATAAAAATAACTGTCTTATTGACTAAAAACTCGCATTCGGAATCGATACTCGTTTCACGAGTTCGTATTAATCTAACTTAACAAATATGAATATATTAATATTAATTTGCCCATTGTGAATATATCTTGAGTAATATTAAGCTTGAGTAATATTTAATGTAATTCCAAACTCTCTGATATGTATATGTGTAAATCTTACAGATGTGATATACAAAATAAACTTGGGAAATATATTATTTATTAGTAAAACGTGGTGGAAGTCAGTCTTCTTTGTCATGTAATGTGGTAAATATTAGAAGAAGGTTTTGTCTGATTGTGAAATTTGGTGGCGGGAATGAAAAACAATTGTATGCTATGGAAATATCGTGGGTATTAGAGTATGTGCTTACCTAATTGTTGAAAGGGGAGTGTAACTTGGAAATATCTGGGCTGATAACCTTATGTGTTCAGTGTAGGTGTATTTTTCCATAGCTTTATCAATCTTGGAACTGTGTCGACATATAGGGCCACACTCATCCCTTTTATAATCCTCAACATATGATATATGTATACATAGTGTGATTGTGATTTACTAGATTTAAATGAATATGGTTGACTTAACTTCTATTAATTATTTTTGTACAACATAATTGCAGATTAAATTAATTCCACAAACACTATTTCTTGCAATCTATAACTGTTTTTACTGACTATGAAACTACAACCGTCGATAAAATATAATAAAGTTACACTGATTTATCCCCAGAACTTACCTTTCAAGGCACAATAGGCGATGATAAAAAAACGAAAGAAACGTACTTCTATTTTGACAAGACAACTTAAAAAATCGGTGTTAGTTTTCCGTGAAACCATTGTCTTGGCATTTGAGGTGATTTATAATTATTGATTAGTTTAAGATACAGTGCGATGTTAGTATTCCAACAGCATACGTCAATACATGGCAACGTTCTATGTGCGCAAAACGGAAACGAAATGTAGCAGCACAGTGTTCGTTCGCTGAAATGTATCCTATAAGCAAAAGGCTAATGCGATTCCTGGTCCAGGCGGTCACAATTAGAATGCATATTCATTTGCACAGGTACTCCGGATTACTCGGTATTACTCGGTATTACTCGGTATTACTCGGGCCACGGTCCTACATCCTCGGTATATACTTCACATTGGCATACATTGAGTAATTCATATTCACTGGAGCATCTGTTTATCAGCAAAAAGTAAAATCCATGCGGGCTCTAAACTATGCGAGTTTCCCGATCCTTACCTATTACCAAATAGACAATTTGTACTGTTAAAGGAAGCGATATTGATTAGACGAGTCATGTGACTGCCTTAATATGATTATATTAATATATAATAGTTGATGCGTGATAGATTATAGTTTCCAAGCTTCAGCTGTATGAATGTACTCATTGATTTATTTCCAATAATAATAATACTAAAAGTAAAGAATTCCATAGCCTGTATTTGGATAGCGTCGGATTGTATTCCATGTCGTGGTTTACGCAATAATGGCGTATTAATTGCTTTGCCAGTTTTCTCATTCCATACAATTGAGGTGATGATATCGTAGTTGCTAATTGGGTAATTTCTGATATTCCCTATGAAATCTTGTTAATATGATCATTTACCCACCGTTGTTGACATCATTGTTTCGTTTCGAACAATATTTCTGTTTTTTAAACTGTTTCTGAAACACATTATTACAAAGAGATAAATAGACTGCGATAAATAGTTTGTACCTATAATAAATTACAGTGACCTGAATTTATTTCGAATTACATATATTGTGTTGTTGGGACTGTGCTGGCGTACGAAGGACGGTATCGATCCTCTGATGAAGCCATTGTCAAATCTCGTTATTTGCACAAATTATTAAATTTTGTGTCCTCGTAGATGTATTGCTGAATAAGACCAATCATTTCAACTCCAATGTCGCCATAGAAACGGTAAGGGACGGATCATTATATCTACCGAGGGCATATTTGTGAACAGATCTCCTATAGTAAAATTGTTAAACTTTATCGCAAAATTATATATAAATAGAGGTTTTTAAATTAATATTGTTTGTATTTCTGTTGTTTTTGTTGTTGTTGCTGCTGCTGTTGATACGTTACATCCCCACCCAAGACGAAAATAGTTGAAATTGTCGTCGTAGCATATTGAATCTCCCTCCATGGCGACACAGTAAATACATAAACCGTTTCCAAGGAAAAAATAAACGGCGGCTACGGGTGTATAAATTGAAAATTAGCGACAAGATTTATCTGTAATATTGACAAGATTTCATGTTTTTCTTCCGTAGTCGTATATATTGACATTAACATACAGTTTATCACAGGCTATTTTATTGAGCGTCATTTTATTCATCTGTGATAAAAAACAAAATAACGTATGTAGATCGCATACAAATATTTGGTATTTATCATGCAAAATAAACTCAAAGTTTTCCATATTTCATCTTAACAGTTATGCACACCCCAGCACAATAAGGAGGCGCAAATGAAAATCTGTATATTAAAGCATGTTAAATCTTAAACATTTTCCCAGCTTATCCTACATAACAAAATCCAAAGCCCTTCCATGTTATGTGTTGTAATTGTTCAGAACTAAAAACTGTACGTTAGTCTTGGATTTTTGTCAGTAAACGCTGATGTGCTACTAAGCAACACAAACACGGTGAAAATACAATTGTTGAATATTAGATAGATGTTTATCATGTCCATTAGCATGTTTTTACTATGTAACGTAATAATAATTGTGACAACAACATAACATATGTAATCGTCTCATCAACGTACATTTTAAAACTCAATGTCAACAATACTTTTTGATTTTATCAATAATAATCACTATCGGGAACATATAAATTATTCGTTATTGATTCGTTCTATTTTCGCTTTGTGTCACATTATTATTGTATTCCTTTGAAATTACATGTATCCCTATGGTAAACTAACACAACCTTGACTGTTTCACGTCATTTAACTATTCAAGGTTATTAGTACTAACGTAGGAGACAACACACTTGGAAAGTAGATATAGTCGGAGTTTATTTACATAGTGTGAATCCTTGTCTGTCTATATAAACTGTGATTCGATGTAATTCTTTAGTTGTTTCAACCTAACGCTCTACATGACGCACGTCATGTTCCAGAGTGAAGAGTATTCTTTGCTGTAGAATACTGTCTCTTTGTCACTCTATCTCGTAACTGCGTAGTATATATACACACTACCAGACTCGTTATAATACTAATCCTGCCTTCTTTTGTGATATCCAACCACAAGCACACTGTTATATATGAATGTAAGTCGAAACATAATTAACATATTAGTAGTATAGTAGTATATAAGAATCATGAGTGTAGCTATTCTGCAAAATGTATTCCCTCGAACATAACAGTTATGCATGGAGGTACTAGTATGTAAATGAATAGTGTGTATAAAGCAGATTCTGGGTAGTTCTCCAAATAATATATTTGGCTGTCTTGATAAGTAAATGAGATGTGATAAGTTGATTTCTCTATTTTATCTTCCAGTAAGCAATTAAGCAGTAAGTACATTTCGGCAACATGTATTTTTCCCATCAAAATATATTGCGTCCAGTAGTCAATAAAATCGTGTTATTGCTTTGCGGGTTTGTGCGGGTGGCCACGTTTTATAAGTTTAAATGCATATGGTGCACATTTGCTATTTACGTTTTTATAATATGCAATACAATTTTCGGTCAATCTAATTATGAATGATTTTTTTTTTATTGAGCATAGCTTAGTCAGATTGTTTAAGTGTGTGGTAACCTTGGAACAGGCTCAAATATATTAATAAAAAATGTTCTATATCTAAAAAATAATAATATCTTGATGACTGTATCTCGAGTATTTTTTATTTTACTTATTTCAATTCGGATATAGGAACAAACATGTCGTATTCCGTAACATATGGCTAACCTAATGGAATGCAAATAAATGAAACCTTCGTGTTTTGTTGTTTTTTCACCATATAAATATATTCCTTTCTCAAAGACAATTGTCTTGACACCAGTTTTATAGTGGTCAATATAGTAATTCGGTTGCACAAATTACAGAATTACAGAATACTACAGTGAATGTAAAGCTGGCTGAACCTATTTACATTTATCAACACTCATTGTGTTCACTAAGTAAACGTATATTGCATAACAATTTCCCATGTCGTTATCGCACTGACTGAAAGATATCGAATGTCAACAAATGCCTTTGTGTTAAGTGATAAAAGAGTCTTGCTACGTTATGTCTAACTCCTTATTATGACCTAAATCGACGATTGATCTATATCAGAATGTTCACACTCACTCCTGCAAAAAATACTCCTCGTTATCATATATCATCTATCCTATCTATTCAACTATGTGTTTCATTATAATTCAATCAATTTAAATCAAAATAGGTTCAAATTTAAGAATAATTCTCGCATATGAAAATTAAATCAAAATAGGTTCAAATTTTAGAATAAGTCTCGCATATGAAATTTAATTATCAATTAAGTTAATTGGTATCTTGGTATCTTTCAGAGGTTTCTGCATAAAGTATAGTTCTATGCGACATAAAAAGTATAAAGAAAAAGAAAACACACTTATCAAAGAGATACATAAACTGCGAGCCATAGTTGATTCTCACAATCTTGCGCCTACCGATATTATGCAACAGCTGTCAATAAAACAAGAGGAATTAGAAGCAATATATTCTGAAAAGGCCTCTGGTCTTGTAATGCGTGCTAAAGCACAATGGTTGGTAGATGGCGAACGCCCAACTAAATATTTTTTAAATCTCCTACATAGAAATTATTCCAGAAAAAATGTCACAAAATAATTAAAACCAGATGGTACCGTGCTGTCTGATCCACAGGATATATTAAATGAGCAGGTGGATTTTTACACAAATCTTTACAGTGTTGAAAGGGAGTTCATGGAATCTGAAAATAATTCCACTATTTTTTATCCTGATATGTATGATTCACGATTAGACAGTTCGGAGAGAGATACATGTGAAGGTCTTATCACAAAAGAA